TAAACATCAGGTCAAACCAAGGTTTCAGAAACCAACCCGGAAATGGAACCGTTCTAAGTACCGGTTTCCGGGTCAGCGGTTCGACCATCTGGGTCAAACGGTCCGGACGGTTTGTATATTAGGGTTAGGCAAATATTTTATATGAAAGAACTGGAGTGGAGAAGAGATGTCGGCTGAGAAAGAAAAAAGAAAGAAGAAAAAGAAAGTAAGAAAGGAAGGAAGGAGAAAGGAAAAAAAGAAAAGAAGAGAAAGGAAAGGAAGGAGGAGGGAAGAAGAACGAAGAGGGGGAGGATGGTTCGATGTCACCGACGACGACAATGGTGAAGTGGCGGCAACAGTAGATCTGAATTCTCAGATCTGAGATCTGAGATCTGAGATCTGAGTTCTCAGATTTGAGATCTGAGATCTGAGATCTGAGTTCTCGGATCTCAGATCCGAGATTCTCTGCAGTCTGCAACTTCTTCTTCTTCTCTCTCTCTCTTCTTCTTCCACAGATCTCAGACACGAAACACGAACTCAGATCTGAGTTCGTGTGTTTCTCTCCTGCATCTTTATACTGTGAACCGCTGTCCGGGTCAAATGAGTTGACGGTCGCCCGCCCAGGTCAGCGGTTTTCTAACAAAATCAATGGTTTTTGACCCAAGAACGGGTTAGGGGTGAAACGGAACCGGTTGCTTGGACGTTTTCCGGGCCGAACGGTTCGACCATCCGGGTCAACAACGGTTCAAAAACATTGGGTCAAACTCTCCTTTCAATATATTCCAACAAGCCTTAATTAATAAAAGAAAAATTAAAGCCATCTGGACCTGGGGCCTTATCCCCACTTATATGTTTTAAAGCCTCCTTAATTTCCTCCTTAAATCCTTTTTTGTTGGGAGAAAAGCCATCTACAACCTTATTTATGAAAATTGGCATATTTGTGGAGATTCTAAGACTGATGTATAGTTTTATTATAGTCCCTTTTGTACTTGTAATCTATACTCCATTCGGATACAGTTTCAAGATCATTTAGAGTTTTGATCAACCCAAGATAACCTTTTTTTCTCTAAGAAAGATGCCTATCTGGTGAGTTCTTTTTATTTTATTTTATTTTTGATTTCTTCCAATCAGCTGTTTTTTTTCAGTTTTGTATTCTAATGTGTGTGTTGCCCAGGCCTACTTTAGATATTCCATTGATTAGTTTGAAGATTTACTTCGGTTTAGAAGGCTTTGATCCCTTCTCTAGTTTGGCAGGACTTTGATCTTCCATATTTGGACCGGCAGTCCTAAAACCTAGTTGTTTGGATTACTATTTTCGAGAATTGCATTTTATTTGGTTATTGTTCTGGACTAGAACTTGTTAACCTAGATAACCTAGATGGCTGATAAGGTTGATGTCATACCTGTGAAGTTTGATGGAACTAACTACAATATGTGCAAGTTCCATTTTGATTTCTTTGTTGAGGGAAAGGGTCTGTTATTTGAATGGCACAATTACTAAGCCAGATGAAGCTAAATCAAAGGCATTTTACCAATGGAAACTTGATAATGAAAAATTGGTTTCTTGGATTGTAAGTTCCATCGAAACTCATATTTCTGTACCCATGAGAAGGATGAGAACTGCTTTTGATATGTATGCTTATTTGAAGGTTTGTTACCAGTCTAACTTGTCTAGGCAGTGCCAAGTTGAATATGAAATATTTGCATATTGTCAAGGAGATAGGAAAATACGGGAATATTATGCCGGATTTCTGGATTTGTGGACTGAATACGAGCTAGTACATATTGACCCTTCCAATCCTCATGAATATCTCGTGTATCTTTAGAAACACTTTGAGAAACATAAGGTGAATCAGTTTCTTATGAGACGTACACCTGAATATGAGATAATCAGGTCTAACATCTCGAGCCGGGGAATCCTTCCAGACTTGGATTCAGTGATGGGGGAACTCCTAAGAGAGGAGACCCAACTTTTAATTGCTATGGGAATTGAAGGGAAATTGACAGATTCTGGGGCTGATACAACTTTTGTTGCACATGGGAATAGGAAGCCAGCCACTAAGGACTTTTCAAAAATTCAATGTTTTGAGTGCAAAGGGTTTGTTCACATTGATTCTTATTGCAAGAAGAAAAATATGTGCACTTACTATAAACAACTTGGTCAGATTATTCCTAATTGTCTTGTTCGACCAGCTAAGGGTGCTGAAAAGAAGAATCAGCCACATGCATATCAAGTTATTGAGGGCTAAACTTTTAACATGACTATTACCAAGAGTGATTCCTCTGTTAAAGGTGAATCATCTGTATCTATGGATGAAGAAAAGATTTGAAAATTAGTACCCTCTGCTTTTTTTGCTATTTGCTTGTCTAGTAAGTCCTTTTGCTTATTGTTCTTCAGCCTCACATGGTTGGAATATTGATTCTAGTGCCACCAATCATATGACCAGATCCTATCCCAATCGCCCAATTCACCTTACAGAAACCCATGATAAATACATAGTTATTGCTAATGGTAAAAGCTAAGCATCACTGGTAGTAATGACCTTTCTTTGAAACTTTCACCCACTATGTCCTTCCCTCTTTCAAAGACCTTCCTCCTTGTTCCTAATCTTACTACCATTTTAATTTCTGTTTGCCAACTTGTTGATGAAGGAAATGCTCTCACTTTTCTCATAATGGTTGTTTAATCAAAGACTGACACACTGGAAAGGTGAAAGGGAAGGAGTGTTTCCCAGAGCATTAGAATCAACTCTTCTGTGCTGACGCCTGAAAAAACATGGAGCAGCATATAAGGGAGTAGACGAGGGTACAAGAGCTAGCAATGGGATAAACGGAGTAAGGACGGGAGGAGGAACATGACACTCAAGGATAGGATGCTCATCCCCAAAATACTCCCCCTAAGAAGCAGCATGTGAGAAGAAAGGAGTGGACTTGGAGAAGGTAACATACCTAATCCTTAACACTAGATCATAGTAACAACACCCCTTCTAGTTTTGAGCATACCCAAGGAAAACACACTTCTTGGCTTTAGGATCAAGTTTAGAACAGTAAGGACCAAGACACCAAGTATGTGAACAAAACAAGTACATATTGGGACATTCCTTAAACCATTCCCCCTTCTTAGATTACATCATTTTATAATTTTGCCCAAAATAGAAGAGGCCTGCTATCTCCTTGTTTTGCAAGCACATCTTCCATCCCATTAGCAGTCCTCCTTACCCAACTGAAAGCTGCGTTGTATCTTTTTGCTAGAGCATCAATTTCCCTAAAAGCTTGTTTGTATTTCCAAGGGAATGAATTGACTTTCTTTGTCCAAGCAATGACTAATTGTGGATCTCCTTCAATTTCCAGTTCCCTGATTTCAAGTTGTGCAGCAAGTCAGCTTGAAGCCTTGAACTGAATCTCCAAAGCCAATTGGACCTGAATACAAGGCCACTACCTCTCCTAGGTTATTTCTGAATACACCCGCTATGCCAGCTCTTCCTGGGTTGCCCATTGAGCTGCCATCAAATCAAAGTTCAATTTCAAACTATTTGATGTAGGACAAGCTCAGTTCTAGTCCTTAGAGAATGTTGAATGGTCTTCTTGATCAGAGTTTTATGGCTGTTGATGGCTGTAATGGATTCTTGAAGGAGTAAAAGAGAAAATAGCGAGAGAAAGAAGAGAGAAAATACCTGGAATCACTCACAGGGTGCCTAGAATCACTCTAGGGCATGGGAATCACTCACCATAGCTAGCATAAGCTGACGAATACCCAATATAATTCATTGGCTTTGTATAAAACGTCCATACATATTTATGGACTCTAAACTCATAATAATCCTAGGAGTCAAACTGTTAGCCTCATAATAGTCTTAGGAGTCAAAACTGTTAGACTCAATAATTCTAGTAGGACTCAAACTAAGCTGTCATATCCTATTTCAATTCAAAGAAGACTGAAAGAACTCTAACCCTACTTATGCAATGACTAAAATTTTAAACATAAACAAATTATAACTAGACAAATTAAACCCTATCAATGGGCCCCACAGAAAATATCCATGGTCTTTACCTAGTGTGCTGTCCTAACTGTTATGACTTCAGATAGTTCCTCCTTAGATTTACTCTTCTCACTGAAGATTCTTTAATTTCTTTCTTCCCAAATGGTCCATACCACCGCTGCTCTTACCGTCCACAAAATCCTTCCTCTCTTTTTCTGTTGCCTCAGGAAATTGGAGTTGAATAACTCTACCACATCTTGCGGGGGAGTCCATCTGCAACCAAAAGGAGAGCAAACAAATTCCCAAATACAAGATACAAAGGAACAAGAGAGCAATAAATGAGGGAGAGTCTCACCACTCTCCTTGCACAGGAAACACATATGAGGATATAGGCACCTATTTGGCCTTTTTTATAGCAAGTCGCAGGTATTGATCTTTCCAAGAAACACTTCCCAGCAAAGAGCTTGTACTTTAGGAGGGATAGGTTTGCACCTGATTTCTTTTATCAGGCAGTTTACCCCCTAGGTTTAGTTAGGATAAGAATGTTAAAGAAAGAAGCACACATGAAACAACCATCAGGCAAAGGAGTCCAAACTCTAATATCTGAAACATTTTGGTCCAAAAAGACATTTTCCAGTATTGTAAGTAGGAGAATTAGGGACTCACATTCGCCTCCTCTCTTGATATTTATACTTAACTAGAAATGATACGATGATAATACAGCCCTTAATAGGGCGGCTATAACTAAAGGGACCACACTTAAAGAAATAAAAGAACAAGCTACTAATGGGCTTAGGCTTGAGAACCAAACAATTAACACAACAATAAAAGGAAATAAGAAACTGGGCCCATAAACCTCTCTGCCCATTAACAGAACTGTCAACAATACTTATTGGTTATAGGTTTATGTATTTTCTTGTCTAAATATCTTAGCAACATTTAAATGTCTTGGTAATCCTTAGTCATATTGTTACATATTTACTGTATAAAAGTTTTGGTAACTTTTTTTTCCTTATTATATTCTGTTCTCTCTATTTGAAGGTTAGCCACTCTATTGGTTCATACATCTCTCTTGAAATTTTTAGGAGACTTCCAGAGCAGGTATTACTAATTTGAAATGACAACATTGTTGTTATGTTTATAGCTTTAGTAAACTTTGCTTTCATGTTTGCAGGTTAAATATTGTATAGGGCTGTATCCATTTTTATCTTTGAACAAGGAATCTGCAAAGCAGTCTCTGATAGGGAAGATTGTAGTGTATGTTCCTTTCTTCTATATGAGTAATGGTTTTCACTCTTTTTCCTTTATCGATAAATGGTCTCCTTTTTCAACCTAATACAATATGTTTTTTCTTAGTTTGGTATACCAGTATACCTATATGGCTTTCTTCAACCTAGAAGAAAAATAGCCTTTTGAGAAGAAAGGACTGTTTAGAAAGTTGCAAAAATTCAAAAGAAAGTAGCAGAAATCAGAGTTCAAGAGGAGAGAAGAAGAAGAAGAAGGTGGCGACAACTTGGGTTCAGAGAGAGAGATTTTCGAACATAATCTCTTCTCTTACTTCCTTAATTCTATTTCATTAAGTTAAACTTTAGTAATTTACAAAGAAGCTCCTAGTTGGGCAGAAAATAAAAAAGACATAACATAAGAAAGAATAAAGCCCAGATTAAGGCCCTTTACAACAAAGAACATAAAAGATAAAAAAGGATAAACAACCTATGGGCCATTCTTCTCTACACTCGCCCTCAAGCTGAGCATAGATGTCAATCATGCCAAGCTTTCCAGTATCATGCTGAAGTTTGGCCTTGGGAATGCCCTTGGTGAGGAAATCAGCTAA